TGTGACTTCCAGAAGTCTTGTGAAATAACTGAAAAACCCAGACCCATGCATTCAATAGGTTTACTTAAAATTTAGATAAGTGGTTCAGAGAGAGAGAGCAATGTGAAATTTTACATCATGCTTCTTATTATGCCTAACTCATGTTTGCATTATTGATTTCTCGTGTAGATGATGCACCACGCTCACAAATCCAGAAAGTAAAATACTTTTTCAAAAGGGCTCTGCAAGTGGTTTGTTTTTTTTTAATGGGACTTACATTTTTTTCTGCTGTTTTGAGAGAGAAAGATTTGAACCCCTTCCTACTTCTGGCTTGTTTGTTATGAGGAATGTCAGAACTGGTTTTGTTGGAAGACCTCCTGAAGTATCTTAGGGATGTAGATTTTGAACTCTTAACATCTTAATAGAAAGGTTGAATGCATTGGACCCTTTGAGATGTCTTTAGCTAAAATGCTATTTGGACATTCATATGAAATAGGTGTTTAAGCACTTTGCATTTCGTTTTACTACACTCTTCCTTTAAAATAGCTAGCTCAGGTACCTCTAGCAGGCTAAGCACAACAGCATGGAGCTTAGACTAACTGCAAACTTAGGCTGAGCAGTGGGTAAACTGATTTATATTGAGTTCCATGGTGCCATAGCTGGACTCGTATCAGTGCCTGAACTAGCCAGTTTACAGGAGCTCAGACATGACTACAGATTAGATATACCCAGTTGTGCAATTGTCCAACTTCTTATTCTCTCTTCTTACTACCGTTTCACAGCTAATCCCTCTTATTTCCCCTTTTCCTTCAGTCTGCCCTCTCATGCCTTTCCTCTTCTTTCTGTGTGGACTTGACTCTACTTTTAGTAGAGGTTTGGCCTGGGTGGGGAGTGTTTCCAGGTGGGTTCGCAGGGAGGCAGCGCAGCAACAGATCATTATTCACTAATGGCTTGCCCCAAGGGCTGATTGCTGTATGTAAGTACTCAAATTCCTGAAGAAAGAAATGAAGTTACCATAGACTAGCGGTTCTCAACTTTTTTGGACTCCAGGCACCCCTCCATAGGGTTCCACTCTGTTCAGAAAAGTTATCTCAAAACTAATTTATATATTCCAGTGCTTGCCTTCTCACACAGGGGCCGGGGCAGAGGTGAACATGTAGCTCATGACGTCCTTAAAAGGATTTTGTGACTCCCCAATTGAGAATCATTTAAACATAAACCCTTTTTTAAGGCACTAGAATAGGTTAAATTGCACTCTTTTGTCCTTGGCTTCGCTAATCAGGTTAATTCCTGTAGTGATTTGAGGCCAGAGATGCTGAATTATTTCCCATTTAAACTTGGTGGTTCGGAGACAGTGCTGTGCACTCCCAAACAGTTTTCTTGGCTGCAAGATTGATGTCTGGGATGTTGGAGAAGCATGGAGGCAGGAGAGATCCTTCTGGGGACAGTAAAGGGACCTTTCTACAAAAGGGAGCTGCCCATGTGTAGCCTAGTACCACCTCTTACCTGCCTACCAGCACTTGTACCTAGAATTGGTTTAAAAAATACTCAACTGTAGATCACTGATTTGCACAACAATGAGAAAATTGACCCTAAAAAGATTGTCTGTTCCTTGGCAACCCTTTCTGTGGAGAAATGTCTGTGTTAAAAGGTTTCAGTGTCGGGACTTTTGCTGGCCTACTTCTGTCAGCATAGTTCTGTTGCTCAGCATGCCCTGTCTGGCGCTTTGCTTGTGGCTGTATGTCACCTGAGTACTGATATAATTCAGGGGCATGTCGTTTTTTTGGCAACAGAAAGGCAGAATTTTGCTACCTTACATCAAATTTGTATATGGCTGTATGTGAACATGTGGCAACAGAAATCAGCTACTATTGGCAAAACTTGGTGGGATAGACCAGACCTGGGTGCTTATGCAGGGATCCTTGGTTATACGTCTAGCTAATCAGCAGCAAGCATTTATTTAGAGGGAAGCCATATGTAGACAACCTTCCTGCCCAGCCTGGTACCACTTGTGAGGAACAAGCTTTACTCACTTAGCCCTGCTTCACATGCACCCCAGTCTGGTAAATAGGCATTGTAGATAGCTTAAAGTGGTTCTGAGCACATACCTCAACACCACTCTGTTTCAGGAGAGCCTGAGAACAGTCCTGGGGTTTGTGTCCAGGACCCTTCAAAGCTATATAATATGGCTTAATTCTTGATGAGTGGCTGGGGTTTGTTTCTTTTGGGTGGTTGTGGGCTCAGAAGGCAGGCCATATAGACCTGGCCTTCTCAATGAAGTATCCAAGTACTTGCCAGTGCCTTAGGTAGAATGTGCAAGTTCTTTTCCCATCATTTCCTCAGGAGAAAATTATGTGTAGTAGGGTTACCATATTTCCAGTTTAAAAAAAGAGGACACTTGTTGGTGGGGGAAGTGGTAATATGATTGTGAGGGATGGGGGGGGGGGCAATGATATTCCCATGCCCTGCCTGTGCCCTGCACTCTCTACCCACAGTTCCCCACCCCACCTGGTGCCCCTCACACCCAAGCCACAGCCTCCCAGCTATGCCAGTGCTCTTTACTCCTGACCTGCAGCCCCCTGCCCTCCCCCCAGCCCTGCCAGTGCCCCTCATTCCCGACCTGCAACCCCCTGCTCCCCCCAGCCCTGCAGTGTCTCCCGGCTGCCCTGCCTGTGTGAGCACAGGCACTGGCCCTGGTGCCACCAGCCTGGCCATGCAGCTCCATGCTGCCCCCAAAGTGCCCCCTCTGTCCCCTTCCTCCACTGAAGGGGCAGGCACTTTCCCTGCCCTGCTGCAGCCCCAGCACCCAGACAGCTTCCCCCAGTGCTGGCAGGCACCCACCCCCCTCACACACTCATCCCCTCCATACACTCGTGCCACACACATAGCCCCCTGGACAGTCCCCAAGCCCTGGCTCTCCAACTTCTGCCCCCCATAGACTTACCTGCATCCAGCTGCCGGGGCTGCTCCTACCACCCTGCAACTCCCCAACCCTGCAGACACACATGATGCCCCCTGCTTCCAATCACTCTCCCCCTGCTTCCCCTAGCCCCAAGCAGCTCCTTGCTAGGGCAAGCCAGGAAGTGCTGAGAAAATCTTTGATGCTGAGCAGAGCAAAATCCTGGACATTTGTTGATATTTAAAAAAAACCGCCCAGACAGAGATGGGAGGACCGAAAAAGAGAACGTGTCCAGGAAAATCCAGACGTATGGTAACCCTAGTGTAAAGAGCCGAGACATTTTTTTCTTGACTATACAGATATAGCAGGTGGAAACACATGTTGCACTAGGAGCAGAAGGTAGTGATGTTTTTGAAGACCATTTGTTCCTGTGGGATTTCATTCTACGGCTCTGACTGATTCCTGTGCAGGAAGAGTTACCTTTGTAGTAGGAAATCTCTTAGCTTTGCTGGAGAAGTAGAATTGTCAGCCATGATCTTCATCCTGTGGCTTTGGGTGATCTGCTGGAAACCGTATCCAGGGCACTGAATGTCTTGAGGGTAAAAATGAAAATCGTGAACCTTACTTGATGTTCTGTGGGAATATTGGATAGTAGAATCCCCTGCATTTTGGTTTGCATAGGGTTTAGCATTTCTGAATTAAAACCAAACCCTTTTTCTTTCAATTATGTTTAATGTTTTTCAGGCAGTATAAGTCATGGTACAATCTACAGTGCCTCAAATGAGGTTAGCAACGCATGTCAGCAAATATTGAAAGATACTGTAGCCTGATTATACTAATGTTCTTCCTCTCTCACGTAGAGATAGGCACTAGTTTGTTTGCTTTCTGGTGCAGCAGTTCAGGTTAGTTTTATATATAACATTTGAGAGTTAGAGGCTATATCCTGACAAAGAATCACTGTAAAACTTTTTTTTTTTTTTTTAAATACACAGCAGGGAGTCTGTTCTTAATCATGGTGGTGGTGCTGCTGCTTCCTTACAGTAGATGAGGGTTTGATTTTCCTCTTAAACCAGGGGAACATCAAGCACTCTGTGAAGTGCCTCCTTGCTTCTTCTGGTGTAAGTGAAATGAAAGTCAGGTCCTATAGCTTCTGAAAAGTCCGTTTTGTTTTCTGATTTGAGCTGTGTGAAACCTTTAAAATGAGAAATGTAGAGGAACTCTGAATTCCCTGCCCTTTTGATTTTTGTCTAGCACCTCCCCCCCCTTCCCCCCTTTATCATGTGAATATATTTTCTTTCAAGGCCAATTTATAACCTCATAATATTTGCTGTACATTACAAATTTATGTGGTGGCCTCAGAAAAATGCATTGTAAAAAACAGTAAGATGCTCAATTCTCCCAAGATTATAAGAAAGAATTGTCTTCCTTTAGAGACTTTGTGTGTCTGTCAGGGCTAAGTGAACATTTTATATAATTAAGAAGAAAAGTCCAGTTTCAGTACAGTTTTGCAAACAGTGGGCAGTAAACCTGCTTTTCCTTTTATCTGTAGCATTAGAAATACCTTTTACAAATCACTGGTGCCAGTCATCTCCCTGCACTTCTTAACCTCTGGAGAGGCTATTACTAAAATGTCTGTTGAAAAGAATGGCAGCAGCTGTTAAAGTACCTTTTTCTTACAGGTAAATGAATGTTTACCTGCAAGAAAGAAAATCCAGCATTTCTGTGCCAGAAGAGCCTTGGACATAAACTGCAAGAATTGTGAACTGTGCCAGTGATCCCTGAAATAGTTCCAGATCAAGGTCTAATGTATTGAACACTGCCATACTATATTTAAACAATAGTATTTGTGTTGGAGCAGGATCAAAGCGCTTTCTTTTTAAAATGGCTAAAGAATGAACAGGTCAATGACTGGAGATTAAAATTTCATTTTAGTCATTAAATGTCTACGTGATTAGCAATGGGCCTCTGTCCAAGCTCCACCTGTTCTCTAGGACCTATAGACTCTGGCACTGAGCTTTCTGGATAGAAACAAACCATGTTGAGTAAACATAACTCTAGGAATTCATTTATGTAGAAAAATATATGTTCAAAAATAACCAAGGGTCCTTGTATGAATCGTACTGTTAATCTTTTGCTATGCTGGGAACTGCCACTTATTTCTGCTCTTTGTTTCGTTTCTTAGCTTAGCTTCATACCCATAACAGTATCAAACCTTTCACCCCCATGACTCCTTAATACTGTCTTAGATTTTTTTGAAACACCAAAGTTTGCCAACAAGTTTTCATTGATTTGTTGTTTTGCTTGCGTGCCAAAGAACTCTAAGGCATGATTTTTCTTTTCTGTGAACTGTGCTACTTGGCTCCTGACTGGTTATGTTAGCATGTTCTACTATGCTAGCTAAACTAGCAATATTCTGCTATGCTAGCTATGTTCTGTTTCTGTTGCTAATTTAGGTAATTCCATACTTTCTCTCTTTCTTTTGTGTATTCATGGGTCATTGCAAACTAGATTTTTTTTTTCCTTTGGAACCTTGCCTTTGTGAGCCCCCTGGAACCGCAAAATCTGTGGCTGCCTCTCAATACCTGTAGATAGTCTCTCACCAAGTCTGTTTTAGAATCAGGAGTAGAACCCAAGGCAGTGTCTTAGCCTCTCACTTCTGGGTGTCTCCCTCTGTGTCCCACCTGTAAAATGTCAATAGCAATAATAACTGGGATAGGTCAAATCACACAGTGTTGAGACTGTGTAAGTCTTCCTCAAAACTAAAGCCAAAGTCATCCCCCTACCCCCTCAGCATCTTCTTAGGGTCAGCTTCGCAGTACTTTTTTAATTAAGTAAAGCAAAACAAAAAACTGAGCTAACTAAACCTAGTTTAGTCTAGTTACTCCTTTTTAAGGAGAGATTTCTTAGTCTTCTAGAAATTTAGTGTTATAGATTTTTTTTTCCAGTAAGTCTTTCTTGAGTATCACAAACTGCCCTCCTGGGAACTCTATGCCCTAGCGACTGCTCAGCACTTTGTGAGGGAAGAGAGGGGAAGGTGAGTTGCTTGTCATGCAACTGCCTATCATACAATTGAAACTTTAGTTTGGGGCATAAAAAGGAATTAGTGGTTGGACTTCTCAAGACACCTCTTTTGAGAGACCACTTTTCCTCCTTCAGTGAGTGACTCTATGCCCCATCAAGGGGTATGTTTCCAGAGGCAAAATCTGAAATGTAGTAGTATCCCATAGGATTGTCCTACCATCTTTCAAAGAGCAGAACATCCTATTAAAATACTTTGCAGTCATATAACACACTTCCTTTCAAAGCTGTTAGAGTCCTCTACTAAGATGGTTGAGTGTTACTAGCAAATATATGAAAAGCTCATAACAGAAGTGTCCGAAAGACGGGTTTTTAATACCCTGGTCTTTCGGTCAGACAGTTTTTATTTTTTAGTCAACCAGGTTTTATTTTTGTTTATTTGGCAGAAAGGAGAGGACTGAGTGTTTTAAAGACTGCCATAACTCATGTTTGCTAGCTTGTGATCCAGTGGGAAATGCCACTGATAGAACTATTTCCTGGCTTGAGCAGTCAGAACTTGAACTATGAAACTATGAAACTTGGAACAAGTCCTGCAGATAAATTAGACTTCCTGAAGAGAAGTGTAAGGATTTGAGGGCTAGTTTGCATGGCAGACCATGAAATACCTGGATCTACTTTTTTCTTTTTTAATTTAGTTTACTCACACTTGTTCAAAGAAGTTTGCCAGACTTTGGCACACCCTACATGGAAAAAGAGAGCTAGCAAATTATAAACTTGGCCAATGATAACCTATAAAATACTCAGTTTTTTTTATGTAGAATTAGGGCTTGTATCCTTCCTATGTAGAAGCCACTAGGGAGTGACATGAGAACATCTCGGAACAGGCTAAACGTTCCACCTGGCCAAGTAAATTAGTGTCCAAGGACCCTGCAGGAGGAGAGACAGACTTGCACATAAAGGTAGGCTGTGCAGTGGATGACTATGCATATTGTTTGGGCTATCTAGCTGAACAAAAAACTGCGTTGAAGAAGGTTGACTACCTAGCTGAAACTAAAAGGGCAAGGACATTATGTTTTTAATATATGAATTTAAAAAAATTGAGGGTGTAATTACTGAGGAAAAAGAATTGGTCTCAAGGTATGATTTGAAGAGAGAAGCTCAGGCTGTTAACTCTATTTATGACTTTTGAACCAAGTGCCCAAGTACATGATGGCCTGGGATCCCTTTCACCCCTCAAGACAATATTAAAAGATCAAGTGGTATAAAATCTTTGGAAGATGTGTTCCTTTATCATTTTTCTTCTTTTGTATGGAAACTTCAGCTATGAATTGCAGAGCTTTTCAAGATTGCTGACACAAATTTTTATTTTAAGTAAAGAGCAGGTTGGTACATAGAATACAAACAATTATGTGAAAATTTCAAATGTGTCTAAGAAAAAGCTAAGTTCAGTTTTGAGCCTACCAGCAATGACTTTCACCATTTTAACTATAGGCTATCACAGACATAGACATGCAGGTAAAATTGGGAAGGTAAAATTATATGACTTCCTATGCTGTCTTTGCTGAGATTCAAGCATCAAGGTTGTTTCTAAAATGGGATGAAGGTTTCACAGACATTAGGGCTGGAAGGGACCTCGGAAGATCATCAAGTCCAGCCCCCTGCCTGAGGGGCAGGAAGTCAGCTGGGGTCACAGGATCCCAAGAAGATAAACATCCAATTTTTTCTTGAAGGCATTCAGAGTAGGTGCTTGAACCATCTCCGATGGCAGGCTATTCCAGACCTTGGGGGCTCGGACAGGAAAGAAATTCTTCCTTATGTCCAGCCTGAAACGGTCTTGCAGGAGTTTATAACCATTTGACCTTGTCATCCCTTGGGGGGGCTCTGGTGAACAATCGTTCCCCCAGATCCTGGTGAACACCCCTGATAAACTTAGATGTGGTGAACATCCCATCAGGTCGCCCCTGAGCCTGCGCCTTTCCAGGCTGAAGAGCCCCGTAACTCTCAGCCTGTCATCGTAAGGTCTGTTTTCCTGACCTCTGATCATGCGCGTGGCACTTCTCTGCACTCTCTCAAGCTTCTCCACATCCTTTTTGAATTGTGGAGCCCAAAACTGGACGCAGTACTCCAGCTGCAGCCTCACCAAGGCCGAGTACAAGGGGAGAATGACGTCCCGGGATTTGCTTGAAAAGCATCTATGGATGCAAGCCAGCATTTTGCTCGCTTTACTAGCCACAGCATTACATTGAAGGCTCATGGGGGCCATGACTGACCATAAGATGATCAAGTCCCTTTCATCCGTAGTGCTAGCCAGCATAACAATGCCGAGTTTATAAGGATGCCGCAGGTTTTTCTTCCCAGGTGGAGAACCTTGCATTTTTGGCGTTAAACACCATCAGGTTCTCATCTGCCCCTTTGCTGAGCCTGTCCAGGTCAGCCTGGAGCACCCTCCTGTCCTCAGGTGTGGATGCTTTACCCCAGAGTTTGGTATCATCAGTGAACTTGGCCAGTCCGCTTCTGACTCCAATGTCCACATCATTAATGAAGATGTTGAACAATATAGGCCCAAGAACAGAGCCTTGGGGGACCCCACTGGTCACAGGGCACCACAGTGATTGACTTCCGTCAACCACCACCCTCTGAGTCCAACCACAGAGCCAATTGCCCATACAATTCCCCAGGTATCTGGGATATATGGCAGAAAAAGTCTTGTTTTATGATGAGCATTGTAGAAAGTATTCTAAGTATCATGCTAGAGAAAAACATCTCAGGGTAGTATGGAAAACACAGCAGAACATGAAACAATTGTACTAAATGGTGCTAACCTTGTTATGTAATGAGAACACGCAGTTGAGCTGTAACTGCACTACGTACAACAGTTTAGTTTATTTGTACAGCTATAAGGGCATGCAGAGGCAACAGGTCCAGTATAGCAACTATGCTTATTCCCCCTCCCCTTTTAAAGGGGTTAAAAGCCTCCTCTGTCCATCCCCATTGCATTTCGAAGCACTTTGTTAACTTTCTAAATTTTCTTATTTTTTCTCTCCAAGCTCTCCCAAATAGTAAGATGTTTCTCAATCAAAAAAATGCTTTTTTTAATAGAACTTCAGGAGAAGGGAAGAAATTGCTTTGCAGAAAGAAAAAAAGGCAGAGTCTCCCTATGCCCGATGAAGGGTGTTTGTGCCCGAAAGCTTGTAAAGAACTTTTTTCCCAACTATTTAGATGGTCTAATAAAAGATATCACATCTGATCCAAGAACCTTTCCTGCCTATGTCCTTAGACCAACATGGTTATAACCAACAACCTTGCAGAAACAATGTGCATTGATGTGCAGTTGACTGGAGTGCGATTGCTTGGGGTGTTGCTGTGTATAATTTTAAAGTAAAATCTGTAGAGACTCTGGCCGCCCTGGTAGTAAAAGAATTAATTTCTGGAAAATGTTTGTTCCTAAGTGTCACGGCGGGGTCCTGCAGGAGGGCCGTGATCTCCTTAAGGCCCTCTCTCCGTGCCAGTTCGGCTCAAGGGCACCCGATTCTCACCCGCCACGTCTTTGATGTTCAGTAGGTTCGGGAGGCTGCCTTGCGTCTCCTTGGGCACGTACCGCGTGGTTTTTACCCTGCCCCCATGGGTGCCTTGGGGCCCCCTAGCCTTATGGGCTACGCATGGCTCCTGCCACCCCTAATACCACGCCCCAAGCCTTGCTGATATACTAGATGTTGGTCTGTCAACACACCCGCTTCCCCAGGCTCTCTCCAATATACAACCCCTCACTGGGCCTTCTCGTCGAGCCCCTGCTGGGCCTTCTCTAAAATAACCCAGCCCACTACGGGACTTCCTAGCAAGTCTCCGGTCCTTTAGGCCCACTGCACTACTACCCTTTTTGGTATGGGCACACTGTGCTGCTATCCCCTTTTCTGGGGACCACTGCAGCACCGCCCTTATCCTGGGGCGCTGTACTGCTAACCCTTTCTGTCTGGGTCTACCGCAGCACCCTGCCCCTGTCCTGGGTTTTTCGTAGTGCTAGCCTGTTACCGGGCTCGCTACTCCTGTCCTGGGCTTCTCAATCTGGCCCCCCTTGGGCCTCTCAAGCATTGCCCATCTTGGGCCTCGCAACTGGGCTCCTTAATAATACTGCCCCCTGTTTGGGGCTCTCTATGCCCAGCCTGGGCTTCCTAATAAAATCGCCCCTCTCTTAGGACTTGCAGTGCCCACACTGGGCTCTTTAAATGCCCCTCTTTGGGCTGGGGTCTACACACCCCACAAGTTGCACCCTTACTGGCATCAGGGTCCTCACGCTCCGTGAGCCCCCCCTATGAGTACTGTGCCCTCCCTGGCGCTAGGGCCCTCACACTACTGTGGGTCCCTTTAAGGATGATGCGCCCCCTTGGCGCTAGGGCTCCCACACCTCTGGGGTCCCTATGAGTATGCTGCGCCCACTCGGGCGCTGGGGTCCTCACCCTCTGTTGTGAGTCCCCAATGAGGCCTCCTCCAACCCCTATAGCCTCACCCAAGCCACCAGTGTAATACACTAGAACACAAACTCGAGCTCCCTGGCTATAACCAAAACCCAAGGCACTGGGCCCTAACAACATAAGCCTCCTGGCTGTAATTTAACATCATTGCTCCAGCCTCTGGAACTCTCACAAACTATAATTGCTGTTAAGCTTTTTCTCCCATCTTAACTGCAGGAACTCCTGCCCCTCTGGCTGCTGGCAGGACCCTGCTAGCCTAGCCTCAGCCCTGGGCTTTATGAGGGCCAGGCCCTGCCCCCTTCTGGCCAGCTGATTCTTATTAGTTGCCCCGGCAACTTGCAGCTGTGCTCATTATGTTCTGCCAGGGCTCTCTCCCTGGCAGTTTCTCCTCTCTAGGAGCAGGAGCAGGAGCACCAAGGTGTGCCGCGACACTAAGACATATAGCATTTAGGGTGAGTTTTACACTTTTTTGGAGGCCCAGCAAAAGGACATCAAAGTTAGTCTAAGGATCAAGAGGGATTTACATGGAGCGAATGGTCCCTTCTTAGCAGTGACTTTCACCCATTATGAACGCAGGTGCATTTGTCTCCACTACTTCCCTCTGGTTGGAATGTCAGACTTAGTCAGGCATTAAAGTCCACATCCATATACCTTTGTGGATCTGGTCTAAGTGATGGTTGTTGTAATAGCAGTGCCTGTGCTTTCGAAACAATGTTTTGTGGTTGGACTTGTTATGTTGCAGTACCTATTCACAGCTGGCCAACAACTATGTTGCATGTACTGTCTAAAACAGTGCTATTCAACTTCTCAGCAGCTGGGGGCTGCAGGCTGCACACCCAAGGGATTACACTAGTGTGAGCCACAAACCTTTGGGTGTCCACCTAATCCCTCTGCAGCCCCTCCCACTTAACACAGCATGCCAGGTGGTGACACCCACTTCAGTCTCCTGGCTGTGGGCTCCCCCTGGACAGTGCCACAGGCCTTTTAGGGTGCAGGCAGTTGGCAAAAACTGGAGGATGAGATGGGGAGCCCAGAGTCCTTCCTAATGCTACAGCAGGAGCTGTAGCGTGGGGAGTGGCAGTCTATGGGAGTCTGCAGATTGCATTTTAACCTCTTGGGCTAAGTACAGACAGTCTAAAAAGCCTGAGGCTGTCTCAATTCAATCTTTGCAGGTTAGTCTAAGCTGCAGAGATTAAACTGAGAAACACCTGGACACACTTTTTACTTTTGATTCAGGAAATGCAGCCACATGCCTGCAGTGGCTCAGGCCAGAGGGCAGGGGATGCTAAACACCTCTCTGGCATGTAGCCAGCATGGGCTATGTGTTTGTTTCCTCTTCCTGTTGCCTGGAGGTGTCTGGGATTTGCAGTCCAGACTCAAAGCCGCAGGACTCTCCAGGGTTGCTCATCACTTCCTCTTCCTGCTTCCAGGTGCCTCTGGGATTTATAGTCCACAGTCGCACCCAGCAGTATATTTCAGTAAGTTTAGCAGCAGGGCAGCTCTGTATTCAGGGAATGTGGGTTTAACCCCCCTCCCTGGACCCAGATCCTGGCTCCCTCCCTCCTGCCCCCCACCTGCTCCAACCCTTCTCTGCTGGAGCAGACAGTATAGCCCAGCCCAGGGCTGGAAAGCATGCTGGGATGCTGGAGGACTGTTATTGAACTTGAACTAGAAAGGAGTCTCAGACAGAAGTTTCATAAACTGGTTTGATCCAGATCAGTTAAGTCTGATACTACATTCAACCAGGTTGATAAACCAGTTGCAGCCATTTTGAAACTGGCTTATGTACACTGAGCTTCTATTCTGTTGCAAGTTTAAGCCAGTTTCTGATCACTTAAACTGGTTTATGTGTAACTTCTGTCTCTAACCTTGTAGGCTGCATGTGACCTGCAGGCCATCAGTTGGAAAGGCCTGGTCTAAGAGACTGAGGGCTATCACAAGATCAGAGAGAGGGGGTGTTATATCCAGTCATGAAGAATTAGCACCCAGAAAACTGCTGTTGCTATCAGTTCTTTTGTTTGGTTCCTGGTATCATCAGTGGAACTTAGTTACATTTTAGAAGAGCAAAAAACATCCATTAAACTAGCATGGCATTTTCTCATTAGAAATTAGGTACTTTTTGAAAACCATATGATTTTATAGTGTATGCAGTAGATTATGTGAGAATTTTGCATTGTAGAATACTACCCACTAGATGAAATCTGAAAATATATTATACCTACCCTTGTGGAAGACCAAAAGCCTATTACACTGTTAATTATCCTAGTTACCAATAAATCTAACCATTATATCTAAAAGCTTATATTCGCTAAATTGGTGGTTCCATTATTGCTTTTATTATTGCTTTGATCATAGGTGACAAAGCTTTTCAGTTCATAGAATGTTCATCAGTACAGGGGCTCTGCGTGTAGTCTTTTTCGGCTTCTGCTTTGATGTCTACTGTTCTATGAAGTAGCTAGTAATTTCACTGCTCTACGATTTAGACTCTAAGTTATTGTGTTTAGAATGAAATATCTGAGACTAACAGGGCTACATTGGGCCACCTAAGCAGCTCCTTCATAAATTGCCAATGCACCTGTTCTGTGAGTTCTGAATTCCTCTTTTGTGCACTCCAAACAGGTAATTGTAGGCTTAAAGTTCCCATTGATATGCACTGATTTTCATCTTTGTATCTGAACCTGGGCATATGCATGGAGGCTTCTTTGATGGCTTGGCTCTGAGTAGTTATTTGACACAGTAGTTTGGCTTTGTTCTCACAGTTCCTGGGACTGAACACAGAAACTTTCCAGCAAGGTTAGAAAAGGAAAGACTCCTACCTTAAAATTGCTTCAGTGCTTGCTCCATTACTGTGCCTGCTACATGTAGGGTGGGATTCTCTAAAAGAACCTAGGACCACAATTTCCAGTGGAAGTCAGTTCTCTTCTTTCCATTTAGGCACTTTTTAAAAATTCCATCTATGACAAGTGGGCTGGGTTGGGATATGATGACAGAGAGAAATACAAGCAAACAGTTACCAACTTCTACGTATTTAACGTGTACATCGGAAAAGTAAAGATGTATTTACTAAAACTTCATCAGAGTAATGAAAAGGGATGCACAGAGTTCTTTTGTAGTGGCTGCAAAACATTTAACCTTGAGATTCGTATGGGAGAACGTAGGGCTAAGCTGTAGGGTTGAGGGAGACTTCAGTGACCTCTATCTTAACTCAGCTGTCAACAAGACAAATTGACCCCTTTCCAAAATCTCTCTTATCATTTATCACTTCTGGTTTATTCTGAGAACTTGACAGCTCACTTTGAGTTCCCTACGAACACAGCTATGTATGATAAGGATGCATTTGTTAAATCATTATGGGGACTGAAAGCTAGAGAGATTAACTTCATGTTGGAAGCTTTTGGTTACCTTCCAGACAAAATGTCTTTCCCCCCAAAATTGTAAGAAGTCAGTTATAGTAATCAGGCCTACTTAAAATTTCCAGCAGGTCTTAAACTGGAAGGAATTATTGTCAAATTAAATTAACCCTTTGGAGACTGCACAGCCTTATACAATCTTCATCCAATATCCAGGATTGTTCCACACAAAATATCCTCTCATGTTTGTCTAGTTTAGCTTTGAATGTCTGAAGTAGTGAGCTTTCTACTTTTCCCTTTGGAATTTATTTCATTATGTTTAGAGACTGTTTCTTATTCTGGAGGTATTCTTATCCTGGAGGTATTCTTATTGAAAGCAGCTCTTACTGAGTGACAACGTACTTTTTACTGCTCTCTGTTTCCCAGCCTCAAGGTTATAGCCTCTTGGTATAAAATGAGAACTAAATCTCATAAGATAGACAAGTAAATATATTTATGTAATGTACATGTATCTGGTGTATGTTTGGTTTTATATTGGGGATCATTTCAAACGATCTATTCAAAGCATGCAGTTGGTCCAAAACAAGACATCACCCACAAAAATCCTTGCCTCTTGCATAGTTCCCAGACTGTTGTTCGTCCTTTGAATTTGAAGCTGACCATGACGTCACTCCAACACTAGTCTCAAAACTCTTATTGAGTACAGATTTCAGTTTTATTATGGGTTGCTCCCTGGTCTTTATTCCATTTAAATAATATATGTTATGGATATTTTATGTCCTTGTTTTAGTTGGTAAGGAGGCAACTTTGAGTTGCTTTTTCCCTAGTCCCTTTTCCCATGGCCTTTTCTCCTGGCTTAAACTGGTATAAATTAGGAGCAACTCCTCTGAAGTTAATGAAGTTTTGTCATTGTAAAACCAGTGTAAGAGGAAAATCAAGGCTTTGGCTACTTACACAGAGGAACATTTTTTAACTTCATTAAAAACGGTGTAGTCTTGGCAGGCTGCCTGTCATGCGCACATGCTGTTCATTAGACACAGCAGAACAGAAGCTCAGAAAGACATTCTAGAAAAAAGAAAAGAAATGACATTAATAAAATATGAAAAAGAAAAGGTGGACAGCAAGAAAAAGTGATTTTAAGAGTTGGTTTTCTTCCCCCACCCCACACACACAAAAGAAGAAACATGTCAGAATTAAAGTGCTGTAATTTTCCAAGCTATTGCCATAGAGATTGCATTTCATTCTCTGCCATGCATAAATTCAAGTGGAACAATTTACCTATATTGTTCATTTCATGTTATCAGTCTACTTCTCTGTTTCATGTGTCAGTCAGCCAGGCTGATTTCACTGTCATCTGATACTATTCTGTATTCATTTCTACCTGCTGCCAAATATTTCCTATTAAAGCCCTATATATCATAATGTAATATGTATGCCACCTATATATAAAGGCTAGATTCTATAACCCTTACTCATACTGAAGAAGCTCCATTCACTTCAATGGATCTACTTGTATGAATATAGGTCCTCAGCAACATAAGGGCTGTCATTAAGTGAGCCTGGAGCATTCAGAATTTCAGACCCACATAAGCAGCTAGCAAAGATGTTGGGCTTGATCTTGTTTTACTTGTTTAAGCAGAGCGCCCACTGAAATGTTGAAGACAAAGGGCATTTTGCCTAAGTAAAGAACATGGCAATGTCTGTAAAATTCAGCCTGTTTTCATGTATGATGAGAATAATTCCTTTCCAAAATGAGCTGGTCTTTTTTGAAATACATGATATGCTAGGAAACACTCGTAATCAAAAGGTATAGCAAGGTTAGGAAGCTCAGAAATGCTTGAGTTTAAAATAAGCACATTCATTGAGCTCTGGGCAGCTTTTAAGCTTGCATTAAATGTAATTTTTTCCCCTCTAATCATTTATTGCTGGGTATCATTGGTTAAATTAAAACACTGTAGCACCCCATGGTATTTTGTCTCGGCTTGTATCGACTGGTTAGTGATCACTGATCTATAGTAAGGGCTTACTGTCTGATAACCTGGTTGATCTATTTATACCAATGCATGTTTGTTAGATCTCAACAAACCATCAAATTATATCAGTGTATTGAAGTGTCTCTCTATGGCAAATTTGCATTTGCTATCAAAGATTCTGTTGCATAGGAGAAGTGCAATATATGCGTTGTGGGGGTTTGTTTAATATCTGGAAATATTGCACCTCAAAACTCTGATAAGAACAGAGCTTCTGACAGTGGCTTGCTTTAGAGTTACAGAACACATGGGATGTTTTTTCTTCTCAATGGTTTGCCGTAGCTTCATGAGTTACAAGGTGTATTTTATAGGGCCCACTGTAGATTATTTTTTGTCTGGTTAAAATAAAATTTAAAGAAAAAAATACTATTTCTCTTTTCAAAGAAGTGAGTCTGTTGCATTCTAGTGAACTATTTCTTCATTTAAAAGTTTTGTTTTACAAAGATTTTACTGTGTTTTTATTTCCCTACTCTGGAAGCAACATAATGATGAGCATAACCAAGAATCCTTAAATACACAGGTTTGCTGTGCCACAAAACGATTCATTAGTCGGTAGTTGTAAAGTAGGCTCCCAGAGCTCAGAATCTAAGAATTGCACTGGCCCAGTGGATACAAATCCAAATTCCACTTTTATTAGTTTCAAGTAAAGGAAACTAGGAACCAACAAATTGGGAATAACCTGTAGCAGCAAACTGGATTCATTTAGTACATGCTAGGGCTCTTCTCTCCATGAGATGTAAGCTTTCTATGTCGCTGCTCAAGATACTGTCTCTCTGGTAATGCTCTCCACTTGTGTCCTAGAAAGAACCATTTACAGCCAGTGTATAATTGGTATCCACAAAAAGAGATTAAAATAATGAATGTTGTTTGGCTTTTGGTGGAATTGTGTAGAGGCCCCAGGTAAATCCAAAAAAGTGACTGCAAAGCCCTTAGTGTGCCCAGATGTCAATAAACGGTGACAGTGTCAACAACAAGGAATTTTCCAGTGGATTTTTTTGGGCCTACATTTTCGACTGTTTCACCCTTCTGTTTCTTCCTCTCTCTTTCTGTCTTTTATGCCTGTGCACAAATGTGCATACACACACACAGACACAATATGCATATTAGAGCTATGTAGGAATTTTCTAACAATGTACAATGTGTTTTTTTAATTAAAAAAGGGGTTCAGAAACATGTCTAGAAAACGTCATTGTTGCTGAAATCTTTTCAGTCTTTCTATCCGGAAAGTAAATAATTTGTTTTGGGTTGAGTCAGCCTGATTTGAAACATTTTGTTTTTGGTCACTTTGATTTTAATTTTATCTGTCTTTGCATTTATGGGCCCTCATATAATTTGCAGTATGGGTTTATCACACTTCCCACATCTTCTCATATTAGCTTGACTACATTTTCCATATTACACTGCATTTTCCCTTCTGTGTGAATCATCGCTGTGTGTCCTAAAAACAAAGAGCACAGGAAGAGAGGCAAAAAAAAATTCAAAATTTAACAATTTCCTATAGCTAGAAATTTCAGTCTTTGATCAGCTCCAATCTATATATGTATATGCATGAAGGTATGTATGGGAATTTATAAAAAACAAGATGGGGGGGGGGATAAAAAGAGGAAAAAATGAATAACAAATGCATTATGTGTAATTGTGTAGGATGAGCAGAAGTATTTATAAACAGATGATTTGGAAAGTTTCTATTCATGTGACATTGTTGACTTTTAGGGTTGTTGGCTGTAGCCATGTTGTAGCAGCCTCCTCCCCCCCCGCCACAGCTCTGCGTTTGGCTGTGCGTCACATTTCCTGCTTCTCCCCCTTGCTCTGTGTCCAGCCACTGGGGGTACACTGCTCTGCATCCAGCTGTTAGGGGTACACTGATCCAAAAAGATTGAAAACCTCTGGTCTAAGGACATAGGCAGACAAGATTATTTGGATAAATGTGTTATCTTTTATTAGACAAATTAAATAGTTGGAAAATTGTTCTTTGCAAGCTATTGGGCACAAACATCCTTCTTCGGGCAAAATTGTTCTTTTCAAGCTATCGGGAACAAACACCCTTCTTCAGGCATATGTCTGATGATGAATTGCAAGGGGCAGTTGATGAGTTTTAGAAGACGTATGCTTTCTGGTAAAAACTTTTCAGTCAGTAGTCTGTAATGCATTAATTAAAATAAGCCACTTGCAATATTTCCGTATTTCCATTTTCCAACGTTCTTCCTCCCTTCACTTTCTTTTATGAAATACAGTGTTTTCTAAAGTACAGGGAGGGGTTATCAATCATGTTCAATATTAGGTTACTTGCAAAAGAGAATGATTACCTTTGATGTGTAATAGCTGTCCCATGAAGGTAATAGAATAAAATCCAAAAAATGTAATTTAGAAAGGTTTCATACTCAAGCCATATTTTTTTTTGCTTTTATAATCCTATCCTTATGGTCACGGAACACCTTGTGTACTCTCTTCCTTCTACTTTGTCCCTTTTGGGCTTCTTGCAGTATAATGAGTCACCTGTCCTCGGTGGTCTTTTATGCTAAGTACAGACAGTCAAAAAACCCAAGGCTGAATTGATTTAGTCTTTGCAGGTTAGTTTAAACTGCAGAGATTGAATCATTTAGCAAATAAACACACATTCACTTTTGGTTTAGGAAATGCAGCCACATGGCTGCAGTAGCTCAAGCCAGAAGCTGGGGTGGGGGAGCACTACAGGATGCCTGCCAGTCACTGCCAAAGGGGAGGGAACAGAGAAAACCCTCCAAAGACTTTTCCCCTCTCCCTTCTGGAGCAGAGGGGGAATGGCCAGGCCCAAGCACATGCTCTGCCTGGGTGGGGGATAGTAAAACTCATAAAAGCTTGAGTAAGAATAGTTCTTTCTCAGCCATTTTGAAACTGGTTTATGTGCACTGAACATCTATTCTGTTACAGGTTCTAACCAGTTTCTGATAACTTAAACAGGTTTATGTGTAACTTCTGTCCCTAGCATTTGTGTGAGAGTCCTAGATTTCGTTGTTGCTTTGAGAAGACTTAGGCATGGTTTCTGGTTCAGTGTACTGCTGAAGTTGGTTATTATATGATAACTTGGTTGTAGTAGTCCTTTCTAAAACCATATGATTTGATGAAGTACAGAAATATTACCCTTTTACTTGGACACAAACCTAAATTGGCCCTGCTTCTTGTGATTAAAACCAAATAGAGATATTGGGATTTTGTAAAATATCAAGGCTTTGTATGGTCAGTTCTTCTCCCAATGAATTAAGTGGGGGTTCTGGTAGGGATTTTATGATTCACTTGTTTCTTTAAGTCACTTTCTATTTAGCTTTTCTTCCTCAGGGGTGAAATGATGACACATTTATCTGCTGTATTAGGTGGAACCACTGCCTGCTGCCCCCCCCCAGTTCAGCTCAGGGACTGCTTGGCCCGCTGGCAGCTCACCCTCCCTCCTGCTGCCGCCGGAGAGGCAGGTAAGGATTGGGCCCAACCCTTGCATACATGGGGGTTTACTTCTCCCTAAATTGAAGCAATGTTTTTAAAAACCCACTGCTTCAATTAAGGGAGAATTAAACCAAAGTAAACCCCCGTAGCTTGTACAAGCAGCCTTGCAGAAGACCTCTCCATTCAGGGAAGCATACCTGACTCAAACAAGCTTAGGGATTCTCTATGTGCTCACTGGAGGTGAATGCAAATGATCCCTTTCAGCCAGTGGAATCACAGTTCCACCGGGTGAAATGCTCTGTGAGTAGGTGTTCACAGTTCTTCAACCATTTAAAAAAGAGCCGACATGGTGGAAATCTTCATGCTTGGGACAATGTTGAAATGCCAGTCAGTAGGGGTGCAGGCATTTGAATGAACCCTTGCACACAGCCTCAATCAACTGAGGACACAGCAGTGTTCTCCAGCATCCCATTGTGCCCTGCTCCCACCTCCCTTCCTCTCCAGGGAGATGCCTTGTGACTCAGACTGTGCTCTCCTGCTGCAGCCTGAGTGACAGAGCCTCTGCCCCTGACAGCTTAGGGGCTGGGAAAGCCCAGCCTTGTTCCACAGCCCAGAGGCTGTCAGACCCCCATGTGGTGCTGGTGTGGGGAAAGCCACCTGCCAGCACCAGATCGTGGGTTGCCCCTTTTCCCACACCCACCATCCACAGCCCCCTCATCCCTTCCTGCCCAGATATGGGCTGCTGCCAACCCCCTTCTCTAATGCCCCTGCCCAGCCACCCCCCCATTCCTGGCCCCACCTCCTGTTCCATCCACCATTCCCAGCCCCTCCATCTACCTCCCAATCCCCCTCCACAGACCCTACCTGCACCGCGAGGGCCAGGTGGAGCTGGGGCTAGAGCTAAGGCCAGGGCCAGGTCTTAGGCCCCTGTGTGGCCTGATCCGACCCCAAACTGCAGGGATCTGTCTCCAGCTGGGACCTGACATCATCCCCCTCCCCACTTCATGGAAATGGTCCAGCTGTGCCCCCACCCACCCATTCCCAGAGATGCTCAACCACTTCTGCCACCCCCTTCCTCCTCCTCCCTTTATCATCCCTTATTTCGCCCCTTCCCCCCACACTCCACCACCTTCATCCCCACTGTGCCCCCCACCTCCCTGACAGCCCTGCCACTCATTGCTATCTTTCCACTTCCCCCATACACACTCTCCCTCCATCCTCCACACCATTCCCTATCCCTCATTGCCCCCCCCTCCACTGAGAGCGGGGACCCCTGACCCATCCTTCCTCACAGAGACACAGCCCATCACCTCCCCCAAGTGGCCCAGAGACCCTGGACCCCCCAGCAGACACTGACTGGCCTACCTCCATCCTCTATTACTAGACCCCAAGATGCCTACCTGAGGTATAGATCCCTTGGGCTGCTGGAAAGGAAACTGGCAGATTGAGGAGACAGTAGACCTGCTCTGGGTCTGCTATCTGACAGCCTGGCAGCTGTAAGGGAGGGAGGTGATGTTGGAGAACCAGCTAATTGCCCTGACTTGCTTGTATCTAGGCAGAAGAGCCTGCAAAGCAGGCTCGATTGCATGCTTTGGGTTCCCCTGACTGGGTGCTTTTAGCATTGCAAGCTCTCCACCAAGCATGCAGACAGCCCTTTGCACTTACGTACAGGATCAGCCGTTTGAAAATCAACCAGTTGAACTTCAGCTGGTCAATCTAAACATTTGCACATACTCTTATTTTTGTCTCCATGGTACTGAAACATGGCAAACACATGAACCTCCTGAGGAGTCAGGTTAGGAGTACATGGGGGAGATCTATTCCCTGAGAGAGGGCATGAGGAGTACATCCCACATTCCTGTAATAGCTCCTTATATACTTCTGCTCTGTACCACTGACAACCTTTGAAACATCATGCAGATCAAGAGTGAAACAGGTAGGGGAATAGAAACCTAGGGATGTTCCACTAAAATGAACTTGGGAGGGGAAAAAAGCAGAAAGTGTTTCCCTTGATGTTCAGATTACCTTTTCCCTGACCCTGTGAACAACTGTATTTCATTCACTGTTAAAATGGAGTGTTAAGTTTTAACACTCTTTACATTCACTGTTAAAATTTCCCTCTTTTCATGATAAATCTTTTAACTGCTTCAAAAATATTTGGTTAAATCTACTAATTTTAGCTTTTGTCACTTTTTTTTCCATCAGGGTATACACAGTTTATATTTACTATAATTCAATTGCAAGCAGTGTTTAAGATCTTTGTGTTCTGTCACTCTTGCTATTCATTTCAGTTTCCAGTGTGGAAATTTTCAATATATTGGTGTTATTTCCCTGAGCTATATTCTATCTTTTCCTCTAGAATTAGTGATTGAAGTTCCTAGTTCCCCAGCTAACACTGCTGTGGGTTATTACAGTGATATATCTTGGTGCTGAGCTCTAGGCAGGGATCCTCCTGTTTCCTGTTGGAATCTATTTTCTGTCCAACTTTCATTTCCTATTGCATGTTCCTTGGGGGACAAAACAGCTTTGTTAGACAAAAAGGAATTTTTCTTTAGAGTTATTTCTCCATTCTCTTCAGCTGTGTACTTAAAAATGAGCAGCAGTGCAATGCAATAAAATGATTCAACTGGGGTAAGCCCCTTTGGGTCCTAAACAGTAACAAAATGATAGATAGCTACAGTGGCTCTCTGCTTCACTAGTACAGGCTGTCATGGAGACATGGTGAAGGAAGGGTAGAGGTAAAGCAAAACAAGAAATGGAGTACTGGAATAAGCTTTTTTTTGAGTTGCTAATCATCCAATTCAGCTGAGGGGGCTGACTTCACCCACTTGCTGTATATGTTACTAAAACTAACGACTAGATGAACCTCTCTGACTTTTTCAACCCTGGCATATATGCATATGATGGCTGGCTGACTTGGTTTTCTGGCCTTTGGGTTTTTAAATAATATCATAAAATACTGATGTCACACTGAAGACATGGGAAGCAGTGAAATTTCCCTAAGTAAACAGAGTATGTCTTCACTGCAGTCTCAAAAAGGACTGCAGTGCAATGTGTAGATACCTGGGCTAGTTTTAAAATAGCTAGCTCAGAGCACCTGTAGAAGTCTAGCTATAGCAGCATGGAGCTCAGTATGGGCTAATTTACCTTATTTCTTCCGTGATGGCACTGTTGATGTACCAGAGGCTGCATGACAAGGTATTTGATGTTTCTTTCACCAGTAATATGCTTGTTAGAAAATCCTTACGTTCTTGAACAGCTTTACTTTAAATGAACAAGTTTGCTGTTTTACTGCAGATTTCTTTACAGAAATTAATTGAAAGAAAATTGAACGGCTTTAGATCATCTTGCTCACTGAAGAGAAGTTACCATCTTTGGGAAAATAAAAAGGATCATAGTTAAACAGACCTGGGCAAATGCTATGAAAGGTCCCCTCCTCCTGTTTCCCATCAAACATGTATCTAGCATTTTAAATGAACATGTTCTCACTGTTTTCATGACAAATTGGCATTTTGTTTTCTGTGAACATCAAGGTTACAGGGACAATTTAAGGAAGAAAGCAAATTTCAGTCATGTGCATAGCTATTTGCAGAAAGTCTGTTCTTGAATTCTTAGGCAGCACTTTTCACCCTGAAAGTGTTTGAGTCAATTGAAGCAGACATCAGACAGCATCTTAAGTGATTTTTCAAACTAGTCATTGCTAACCAGCATAGGTGAGATTTTGAATGTGGAATATCAAATCCAGTGAGCTGAGCAAAAATGTTGATAAAATGGCATGGAATAAATTCAAGAAATCAGTTATCTTAAAAAATCCTGGTGGTGTTACACTGGAATTAATATTTGTCAGACTGTTTCTGTGGATTATGCTTTTTGCTCAAGCTCACAACAAAGTTGTCTAGGGAATATGAGCTGCACTTCAGCCTCATAATAAACCACCAAACATAGGGCCAAATTTGATCTGTTCCCTATGCTGTACTTACTGTGAGAGTATGTGAGCACCTTTTAGATATCTGTATTCTCTTGTGACCCAGATGGAATTACCATTGAAGTCCAAGAACCAACCTTTGCTCTTCTTTACACTCGTGTGGATCAGAATTGATATAACTGATGTTAGCCAAGCTACCCTGATTTAAACTGCAGTAAATGAGATCAGACTTTGCCCAAGTGGGAGCTAAGTAGGTGTAAGGTCTTTAGAATCTGGCCTGTAGTTAATGACAAAGTTTGCACGTGCCCTCGGTTCATGACAGCTCAAACACAGCAAAAGTACTCACAGTGTAGCCTGTCAGATTCCAGTGAATCTGAGAATTGTGCTAAATACCTTGTCACAAGGACATAAAAAAGGAAAGGACTGATCCAAGGGGTGGAGGAAGGAAGACACCGGTTATATGTACATTTTCCTGAAAAGTGGAATATGAGCCGTGGATCAATCGCACCTTTTTAAATAATGACCGTCTCTGTGGAATTTACTGTAAACAGCTCACTTATGTGCACATATCTCATACATCGTGGCACTACAATTTGAGCCACAGAGAATTTTAACATGATACCTCAATGTACCTGTGTATAATTTTTTCAGAAAAAGATGTCCATATATCCCACAGCTATTTGGATTAGCACTGAATAACTGGTATTTTCAGGCCCTCCTTTTAAGATTTTTTATCTTTTATATTAGCCTGTCAACCAGCTGAGATAGCTTAACCTTCCCCAGATGAAGAAGTCTCTGCTGGCACTGGTTGCATATCAGGGTGTTTGGATGGGTGGCTAGCACTCAGGTTCCTGACAAGCAGCTTAAATAGAGCAGAGAATGGAAAAGCAAAATGTCTTTCAGCAGAGTTCTACATTGGTGGGAGGTGATATGAAGAAACTCAAGGCTCAGAGAGATGCAGTCACCCCCAAGCTGCCCCAGAATGCCAAATCACCCATCACCTATCACATACTTGCCTGTGCACATATATACACACACGCTTGACTTCCTTTGTGCCCCTTGAGCTTTTGGGTCACAGCAGCTTTTTATAAAGCTATTCTTTCTGAGCCACAGATTGCCAAGGGAATAAAGAAATCAATCATAGATAGCAAATAGTTATCATTAGTGGTGCAATTAAGAAAGTAATTAGAGACTACCTCTTCATTTCAATACTACAGTTTCAGTAGGTTGAAGTCCTGTACTGAAACTGCATTCTGAAACTGCCTTGAATTATCTGTGATAATAACTGGACTATTTTCCAGTCCTAAATCCACTCTCTCTCTGGCTTTAATTAAAATTGGGGGAAAAGATGGATGCAAGATCTTAAATTATTAATACAAAGCAATGGGCTAAATTCTGCTTGGTTACATAGCATAAGTCTCTGGAGAAACTCCAGTTCAACGTAGTTAATGGTGCAACTGAAAATAAAATTCTTGAGGAGTATGGGAGAAGGGAAAAAGTATTGCATATTTTAAAATTGCTTCCATTAATACTGCCTTTTAAAACAAAGATTCCAAATAGATACATTTACAGTTATGTTTTTCCTGCTGTCTGCAGCTTGCCCACCTTTGTATGGGGAATAACATGCCCTGCATTTGTAAATAAATAGTATTGAACTAGATGACCTTTAAGGTCCCTTCCAGTTCTATGATTCCTGGAAATTTGACTTCACCTTAAAGTTGATGAAACTGAGTTTGTTTCATATGGATTTTGTCATTTGGTTGCAAGCTTTGGCTTGGGGTGCTTGGTGTTCCCT